ATGAGTCTGGAGCACCATCAATCTTGACAGTCCGTGTCTTTTTCCTTTGTAAATCATACCATACAAGTTTTTGGCTGTCCATTTCTAGAAGAACCTTCATTCGATCCTTTGAATAAGCCAATGGTCTCAAAAACTTAACAAGGTTAGTGGGTGTAGCTTTCTGAATCGACAATAGCGAGGTCCAAGACTCCTTCAATCCATACCTTTTCATAACCAAAATTTCAACATTAACCTGGTTGTAATTACAAATCATGCACAGGCACCCATCCAAAACCCCCACATCCAACAGGAAATTTTCATCAATATTATCCGGCTGCGGCACCTCAGTGAACTCCTCAGTCCCAAGATCAAAACCAACTATCATATTTCTCCAACCCATTTCACTTCTTGGAGGTAGGACCCAATGTAAGACACCATTAGCAAGCACACCATATCCTCTCCTATGCAACAGATGGTAGAAAAACATAAACAAAAACCTGAGGTAACGAGGGAACTTAGTAATCTTCTTCCAACAATTATGCATTAAGCTGTAAATCTTAACCTCGTAATCATAATAGCAACCTTCTTCATCATCCTCATTTTTATAGAACTGTACCATTCTGACCACTTTATAATCGTTAGATTTAATATCCTGTCCAAACCCATAAAACACATACCCAGATTTGGAGGAATCATCGGGCAGATCGATCGGAGAAGTGGGCAGTTTCATCAACTTCCTGGTGGAGGGGTTGAACAAGGCCAGAAACCTTTCGGAGTTACGCAGACCAATCAAGCCATTGCATGAACCGAAGGCTTCCGTCCCAGTTGCAATACTGAAAGGGTGGTCAATCGGAACGGCGACATCGAGCGTATCGAAATCCACCGTGTACAAATTCAACCCTTTGAGGATGAGGTTGAGATTCGACCTTGTTTCCTTGGAACGTTCCAGATGCAGCCTGGTGAAGTCGGGATCGTCGATTACAGCGCAACAAGGCTTGGATAAACACTTGAAACGTACAAGGGTCTTCACCGGAAGCAGGATGAAGACGTCGGAGATGATATCCAGCGGAAGCTTAGACATTTTCTGGATTTTTGTTCTGGGTTTTGAGGGATTGCCAAGAAATGAAGGAACTTCCGTTTGGGGAAATGGAAGGTAGTGGAAGGCGGTTGCAGGTGAAAGATAATGCAGACATAATTTTCAACCATGCCAAAAAAGGGAAATGATGCAAAGACGCTTCCTATTTTTTTAAACTACCGCACAATCAGATCTAGATTATTGAAGTAATTGCTTCGCTTAATTTTTAAGCTTGATGAGTCACTTGAAGCCCAAAGTAATGGGCTAAGATTCTAAACCGGACATATCTGACCCAACAATACATTAATTAATTATTTGGGGTCACTGAGATATGGCACACTTCACAAGTTAGCCGAAAAAAGAAGATGGTCCACACTCCACAATGACATTTCAGAAGCACAGTTGAATTATTCACTGTTATTCAGTCCAACCCAAGTGGGATTCCTGACCATTTCAGGGCCCAAACGTAAAAGTCTACAATCCTGCCAAAATTTTTTTTTTAAAAGGCTTTTTCAGGTCTAATAACTCATTAAAAATGTGTCCCTAATCTTACATATAGGTTGAGAGAAATGGAGGAAAGGGGGAGGGAAAGAAAATTATATTCTTATTTTTTTTCATTTTTTCTCTCTCCCTCTCTCTCTCTTTTTTTATATATTGATAAATAATTAAATTAAAAGAAAAAATAAAATAAAGAGAATTTATAAAATTAATGGATGTATTTCAATTTCCACATTATGTCAATGAAAATATTATAAAATAACATATTAGATTACATACACTTACATGCAAGTCATTTTTTAAAATTTAAATAATTTGAAACTCTACATAAAATGCTGACATTTGCAATGACTTAATCCGGAGTTACGTGCGTGACATAAATCATACTTTATGTTTATCCTAATTAATTAAAGATAGAGGATACAACAAAGTAAGAAAATATATAAGAAGTCCCTTCCCCATTCAAGGTCTATTTGGTGCAGTTTGTTAGAGTTTTGTTTATTTTGTATTATTGATTAGTGATAAGTTTAAATTTTTATTAGAGAAAAAACTTTAAAGTTGTTTTTAGAAATAGGAAAAAATAAGTAAAAAGAAAATTTATAAAAATTTTGAATTTGAAAATTGTGATTTTTTTATTGTTTAAAATATTTTTAAAGTTAAAAAAATATTTAAAAGTATAAATTTTTAAAAAAAAATTTAAACTTATAAAATATAAATAAGATCCTTTTTAAAATTTATTGTTTAAAATATTTTTAAAGTTAAAAAAATATTTAAAAGTATAAATTTTTAAAAAAAAATTTAAACTTATAAAATATAAATAAGATCAAAAAATTATATCAAATCAACCTTTAATCATTTAAAAGTAATCATGACCATGGTAACTTGTCCCTTTTATGTGTGCATTCTTGACTTGACACCATGGATAAAGAAATGGAATGGAGGGGCCAAAGCACAAAGAGCATCCTTTTCTTCAATTTTCATAAATAATTTTTTAGGGATAAATAATTTTTTAGGGACCATTTTTGTGGCACACCATTGCTGCATTATTTGGCTTGGCCGCAGCCAGCTGGTCCTCCACGCATTTTTCTGCCCATTACTATTGTCCCTGCACATGGAAACCTTGGCCGTTAATTGTTGTTTAGTGGCTTCTTCTTGATTGATGAATAATTTATTAGTGTTCTTGTGTAAAGACCATTTTGACCAAGTTAGACCTCCCTGAGCTGCTCAATTTTGATTCTTTTGACCCATTTGGATTGGGGTAGAAACGTACACCAGTTGTATATTATATATGTGTTTAATTTTAATTAAAGGAATATCAAGGATTAAATTTTTTAATAAACTAATGTATTTAAAATTCAAATTTTAAGATTAATATAAAAAAATTTAAAATTTCTTAAATACATCAAATTAATTCGAAGTGTGTTATTAAAATTAATTTTAAAATATATAAAAATAAATGTGAAATAATCTCAAACAAAAAAAATATTTTTTTTGGTATTAATTTTTTGTATTTGATAATCACAGTAGATCTCGATTAATTCAAAATCAAATGGTGTTGAACTTTATTAAAAGAAAACTCTTCTAATATTGATTTTTTTATTTACGAAATTTAAATTTGAGAGTTATTTTAAAAAAACTAAAATTTTTTTACTCGAATCAACAAGTCGTTAGTGAAAAAAAATATTGAAGGAAGGGCAAAGATGCTTGGAGCATGTGCAAAACAAGAAGAAATTGTTTTGGTTAAATGCTTAATTTGGTCCATCAACTTTAAGAAATGAACATTTTTGGTCCCTTAACAATTTTTTGCATTTTTTTGATCCCTCAACTATACGAAATGCACTCTGTTAGTCCTTCTGTTAATTTGGGCCGTTAACTCTGCTTAGGTGGCATTTTTTATATTTTTTTTGATGATATGGAGAGCAAAACTTCAAAAAGTGATGACATGGATAAAACTTTTGCCATGTCACATGCTACATGGCGAAAACACACCAAATCCATCCAAATGGGTCACACATCACCACTAACAATTGCTTCTTTGCCCATCGGAAGTTCGACGAAACCCAACAAATCTGGGTTCGATGCAATCCAGCAAATAGGTTCCATCGAACCCAGCTCAATTCATTGAACTCAATTGTCCAAAAATCACTCGCAACAACCTGCAATTTGAATAATCTCTTGGCAAACAATCATATAAACACAAAAAAAAAAAAAATGGAGCTGGGTTCTGGGTTCGGTGGAACCCAGGGCTGGGTTCGGTGGAACCCAGCAGAGGGTTCAATAACCCGAGGAAGAAGAAGAAAAAAAAGAAAAAGAGAAAGGAAGAAGATGAACGAATTATTTTATTTTATTTTTTA